TAATAATAATAATAATAATAATAATAATAATAATAATAATAATAATAATAATAATAATAATAATAATAATAATAATAATAAACAACATACAGTGCTTCGATCGGGTGATTTTGAGCGCAAACAGCTCAAACCTTTTAAACCATACGGCACGCTTCTTGCTGAAGTGCTCTCGAGCAAGTTTTCGGCTAAGTTCCATGAATAAATAAAACACGAACAGAAAGATAGAAATCAAACTTTGGATTGAAGATAAAGTGGATAACATTCACTAAGGTGATGATGTAAATAAAAATCAAATCAATTATCAATCGGGGAGCGAGCCCGCAGAGTGAATTGTTAGCTGTCCGCCCCTGCACACAGCCGACACACCGGGAAAGTAAACAGGCCGGTGTGCTCCACATGTTGGTTACCTTGCGCACTTCCCCATTCTGCGCTCAGCGTCCTGTCCAAGGCGTGACGTCGAGTCGTCGCTCCAGCCAATCACCGCCAACTTGAGGCTGATGCTGAAGGGAAAGTTGCTGGTAAGAGTCGCAGATTTTTCCCCCCTCTCACTGACATTTCAACTTCACAACGGATTCAAAGGTAGATAGATTTTCATCGGGACCTATAAGTTTCTGTTTCTGTGACACGGAGGAGAGATCCGGGGAGGGAAGAAGCGAGTTTATATGCACAGGATATCGGTCAGACGCCTCTGCTGCCTTTCTTCCGGTGAGTTTGGCTGGACTATAGCCTACTTTTAAATAGTCTCCTTTTAAAATTTAAATCTACTGTAACTTACACGATAAACCTCTGAGAATATTTAAAGGGTATCCTTTCTGTATTTTTGTATTTTATTTCATTTTTTTTAAATGCTGAAAAAAAACGCAGTTAAAAGCATGCAGACTGATTTCAATTCGGGCGCACTGGGAAAGTTGGGGAAATTATTGGTTAAGTGTTTGCACGTTGCTTTGTGTATTACAGAGTAGGAAAACACCAAAACAAAGTGGAAAACAATAAGCCCAGTTCGTTTTTGTTTTTTGTTTGGTTTTTTTTGTCATCTATCGCACACGCGCACACAAAGTGTAATTAGCGATCTTCACACAGGAATTAAGCGCTCGTCATTTCTTTTAAAAAGCGGCTATTATTGTGCGAGTTACGCCTGGAGGAGAATTCAGCCTATACATCAGGAACGTGTACAGTGAGATCCATTCATCTATGCACGATCTATAAGCGCAATGGAAACGTCGATGTCCATCACCGGAAGATTTGATTCTGTGGGCTTTTTCATCAACATGACACGTCTGTGACATTTTGGAGAAACAGCGCGATATTTTGGTTGAAATGCTGTGAGTTAACGTTTAAAGTCAGAGGTACTGTTAAAGAACTAAAACACTTAAAAAAAGTTGTGAAAGCAACTTGCAAGCACGTGCTTCAAATCTTCAAAAACAACGAAGTGAAGTGACACGCGCGCCTTGGTGGTTTTCAGATTGATTTTGTTCGGAGGGCCCGGACCTGCTGTTTATGTTTGAGGTTATTACCATTTAATTTCTTCACACACCCCCTCGTCTAATTACGAGCTTTCAGTTGCATTATTATTTACACCCCTCACACATGTACTCATTTCCACACAGTATCTGGAAGTCTTTGGAAGCCTCGGGTCAAGGTTCTTGTATGTTTGGCTGCAGCGTGTCTTCCTGTCACACTGGCCGATCAGCGCTGTGACACCATTAGCCCCGGTGTTTATCACAGCCCTCAGCCTTTTGCTGAGGGCTTTAGCCTTTTGTGGACTGTACACATTCTGGGAACTACACAAGAACACGCCGTGGTCTTCACTGTGTCCCCACAAACTTTACAAATTGTTAGGTGGGGTTAAACCACACAGGATAAACTAAATAAAAACAAAATTTACCTTAAACGATGTACAAAGCACTCCACACTGTGGAGGTGAATGTGACTAGAAAATGAAGCCATTAGATGAGCCACGAGGACGTTAACTGTAACAACATGCTTAAAAAAATAATAAAGAGCAGGGTTTGAGCGTGTTTGGCATCCCGACAGAGCAAGACGGGGGCCACCTTAGGAAGCTACATGCGGCTGCCCACTCCGTGATGGAGTTGCGTTTCTTTATGTTTACTCAGTCTGATGAAAAATGAGTTGCCACTAATGGAGCTTCTGTTGCGGTACGCTCTCCACGTGCGCCACCACGCTTTCAAAACAGCAGATGGATAAATATCGGCGCAGAAGTCGAACAAGCAAGTGACTCTTTGATTATGGCTCATGAAAACAGAATAATACAATCGTAAACGCGCGGATGATTTATGCAAATAAACCGGCGACGTGCTCATGAGGAGAAATGTGACCGGTCGGCTCTGTCTGATGAATGACAGCTCAGAGCTTTGCAAGAATGCAGCTACACGTAAAAGTCGAAATTTTATACATCGGTGACAACAACAATAACAACAACAACAATAATAATAACAATAATAATAATAATAATAATAATTATTATTATTATTATTGTTATTATTATTATCAACATTTACAATACTGCTTAAAAACACAAATGATAATCATTTAATTGAGAATTTCTATAATAATAAGATTATTTTAAAAAGAATAGTAGAACGTTTATAATAAAAGGTAAATTAAAGTACATTTGTTATATTCATAAATATTTCATTTATATTTATTTATAATAAATAACAAATTTCTTGTATATAGAAAACTCATATTTATATAATTATTTGCTCACCAGTGAAAGTAGGTGTAATACAGTTCTGGGGCTTGTATGTGTACACCACTTAATATGTATTTAATTGTCTAAGAAAAAAAATTCCCCTCCTATATTAGATACAATTTAAATACAGAAAATGAAGATGCACACCACACCAGGCTTTTTATTGTCTGAGTGAATCACCGTGTTTTCCAAGCGATTATTAACTCGAACCAATGCTGCAACAATATTTATAATAGAAAGCTCAAAGGTCCTGATTTTTGTTTATATATATATATATATAATTTTTTTCCTAAGGTGAGTAAACTGTGACCTCCAGTGGAGGTCATCACGAATGTAAACAGTTGTCAATTTTAAATAAATAATAAATCAAAGCAGGCTTTTAGGTGTGGGGTCGTGTCCAAATATAGTGTCAAGTTGTGAAGTGAAAATGAGTTAAAATACTCTATCTTTCCTTCACCAAAACAAGGTTTTGTTTTTTCAGCTAGCTCTCTCTTTTTCTTTTCTTTCTTTTATTGTATTTAAAAGTTTCTGCAGGGGTACGAATACCACACTGCCTCAGGGGAAAATAGCGACGAGATTAGGCTTTCCTTTCAAGGCCTATGACATTAGTTGCTGCTAATCCGAATTGGGCTAATTGCTTTCCCAACATCACCCTTAAAGACTTTTACAGCAATGCAATCTACCTTATAAAAAGATAAATGTACAAATAAGAAATGTATATATTCATAGAGAGGTGCCGTTGACCTACTTGGCATATCACTTAGGTTTCTGAATAAATAAATAAAAAAATAATAAATAGATGAAAAACCAAAAAGAAATCTCTTGAGAATGGAGACAACGAATTAGCTCTTGGAGCGGATTTACAGCTTAACCAAAGAAATCAATAACATGCTGGAGGTATTGTTTCCAAAGAAAACTACTTGACACACTCATCGGGGAATCCGTCTTTCTATGAAGGCAGGTTAGTGGTGTGAATTTTTGACAGCTGCAATCTGTGACAAGTGAGTAGCAATAACATTTGCACTACAAAGGTGCCTCACAAATACACTTATTCAAGCGTCTCACCAGAAAGAATTTAACATTTAGGCAAGATGTTGAATGTGTTTTCTCGCTCAGTACTGTTACACTGATTATGAGAAGATGACATTCTACTTTTGACAACTTCCCTGTCTTATTACTAGAAACCAGCAGCTGCTAAAAGTGGCACACATCCCGTGCACGCGCGGCTGACCGAGGCGTCCACGAGGACGCAAACTTTAGCGCAGAAAGTTTCACCTTGCGAGTCTTCTTGCGTCAAAGAGTCAACAACCCACCATAGATTTTTTTGTATTACACGTCGACTTTTAGTTTAATTCCTTTCAAATGTCTTTTCTCAAATTAGCCACAACATAATCCATAAACCTGTGAACTTGAATTGCATTGATGTTTCATAATAACTGCTAATTGAAAGTTCCAACTTCGCCGTGTCCTTGATGTATTTTTTTTTTTTTACAGTAAATTATAACCAACACGAGGTCTCTCACTGCACAAACCCCTGTCAGGAGGGGCGACAGGGTTGGGTTGTGTGTGAGGGGGTGTTTGTGGTCTGATGCATTCTAATGGAGGGGTTCTTGACGTAAAATGTTTGGGACCCCCCCTCCTCTCTTAACTGATATAAGCTGCGGCCATTCACGGTAGGCCTATAGGCTGAGCCACCAGTCTAAGTGAGTAGAAACAATGCAGGAAGGAGAAACAGATGAATGTGCTCGTTTAGTTTACGGGTTGTTTGATGAAGGAGTATTGGCCAAAGTGTTGTTCCTCACCGCGGGACCCTCAGTGACAGTTTGAGCCGGTCCTCTCAGCTCATTATCTCGCCGGCCCACTGAGGGCCCCATTCAAGCCGGGCAGTCCCTCTCCCCCTCCCCCCTGTCCCTTCTCTCTCTCTCTTCTCTCTCTCGCTCTCTCTCTCACCCTCTCTCTGGCAGCGTCGTTTGTCTACTCATTGAACCCGTAGTCAGGAATGCGATGGTTGTTAGGGAGCCCTCTTTCACCTCCGAAGTGTTTTATTGATGAGCTCGGACTTCTCCTACTTTTTCACATGTCAAAGAAAGTCAAGTGTAGGCCTCCACGACTTCATTTCACGGCCTCCCATCCCAATAAGAAGAAGAAGAAAAGGGAAAAGAAAACGCATTTCTCTCCCCCTCCCCCTGCTCATGTCTGTCCCTCTCCCGTCTCTCTCGCTCACTCTCTCCCTCTTTGCCCTTTCACGCACCCCCTTTTCTGCTTCTCCACTTTGGCTTCAGCATCCAGACAAACCTCATTCTCTTCCCCTCGGTTTTCCTTTTTGGAATAAGCAACGGGGCTCCTCAGTGCCGAGACTGGTGCTGGCCAAAGCTGGGAGTGTACGCTCAAACACGGGCGCAGAGGGGGTTGATTTTGGGTGCGCTGAGGTGTGCGCTAATAGTCGGTCATTCAGCCGGCTCAGTTTGGGAGCGTGTGGCCATGGCTACGCACTCATTTGCTTTTACTTTATTTACGCGTGCTATTTGCTGTCAGGTCGCAGGAGTGACGTCGCCGTGCCTCGCAAATGTGTCCATAAAAAGCACCCGAGCCTGCCTAAAGGCCGGACTCTTTATGTACGGTGCTCTTGTTGACACGATGGGGGTGGTGGGGTGGGGTGGGCAGGGTGATACTCAAAAGAATCAACAAAAGCACGTGGTGGACATTTTTGGTTGCTTTGAGTGTGAGCGAAGGCGGACAAGTGCAAAATGATTTTCAAAGTAAAACAACTTTCTTTTTCTTTTTTTGGTGGGGGTGATTAGATGATTTACTTTGGAGCTCAATCGCTGTGATATAAGAGTTGAAAAGTGGTGGTTTTTCAAAGTAAAGGTTTTTAAACCTTCAAAGATGACTCCCAATTGCGGCACTTGCGCAGGTGCAACATCGCGCTACATTCAGTCCAGAAGGGAAAAAAGGGCGCTGAAAGTTTTACGCAGCGCGGATGTGCGTCTCTGTAACGTTAATCGCATCTGTAGTGCATCGGCTGCTTCATAAAAGGCACGCTGCAGCTCTTTGTAATTTTAATTTAGTGTTACGAGCTCCAGCATTCCAAGTGTGCGCTGCTCCACTGCTAGTTTCCGTCCCCCCCACTACAACAGACACACACACCACCACCCACCGCCCACCCCCCTTGCGGCTTCAGCTAGCCTCAGGTTGGCGCTGAGCATGCCTGAGATTCCCTGTGCGGACCCAATTCAGCCTGGAAGAATAGAGCCTTCCGTCCAATGGGCATTTCCGAGGCACTTCCTTTGCAATAGGGCAATATTCAGCAAGTGAGCGCAGAGTATTTGCATGCGTGGGCTGATTAGTGGGTTGGGAAGACGCGACTCTCTCTTTCTCTCTCTCTCTCTTCCCCGCTTTCTCGCTCTCTCTCTCTCTCTTTCGCTTTGGCTCGGCCCCGTTTCCCGCTTTGGCTGTGGTGCAGGGGGAAGTGTTTATATGGGGGATGATGACAGAGGTCGGGTCGCGCTAATGGGCCAGTGAAGAGCGGCGGAGGGAGGCGAGGCGAGGCGCACACAGCAGACCAGGAACACATACATTAATACACTTGTTCCATCACCAATCAGCATAGGTGTGTTCATTCTCTTACCCCCACCTCCTCCTACCACCACTCACTCACTCTCCCTCCCTCTTCCCCTCCTTCCGCTCTCTCTCTCTCTCTCTCTCTCTCTCTCTCTCTCTCTCTTCCCCATCTCTCTCTTCCCGACTCTCTCATTCGCTCTCTCACACGCCAGCGCGCATCCTCGCCAAACTCCGTGCGTCCTGACATCTGAGTTCACTGTCAATCTCTGTCTCCTTCGCAGGGATATCCCCTTCGTCTTCGCCGAAGACCACTGGAAACTAAATTTTTTTTCTCTTCGAAACTTCCCGGGAGAGAGCGATCCTGGTCGCCGCTTTTTTCTCCCCCTTCTCTCTTTCTTTGGTGTGGACAACTAGGCTGCAGCCCATAGTTTACCCAGGACTTTGATAACGACGCAGGATGCCCCAAAAAGGTGAGATCCTGACTAAAAGTTTGTCTTGTTGCTGTTAAATTATGTATTATTATTTGTGATAGCCTAAATTATTATTATTATTATTATTATTATTATTATTATTATTATTATTATTATTATTATTATTATTATTATTATTATTATTATTATATCGGGTTTATTCGCGGCTGTAAGTGGAGGGTCAGTGTGAGGTAGAGAGTGTTTTATCGTTTGGACTGTGCAGCCTGGACTCCCTCAAAAGTGCGAACAGCCTTTTAGCGTCTCTGTCGGTTTTATCTGCTCGATTTTTGGTTGTTGGGTTTAAGCCCACGGATAGCTTGCTGCTTATTTATGACAGCAAAGAGTAAAAAGTCACGTTGGGCCAGGACAGTGATCATCGTGGAGAATGGGGCGCAATGACCCGTTGAGGAAAGGTGTCAGATTGATTCATGCAGGCGAGTCACCCAAGCGCCTTCTTAAAAAAAAGCCTTCATGAAGCACTTGCTGAGGAGGCCCGTGTTCAGCGTGTTTGTTTGTGTGCCGGGGATAACACAACTTTACTCCTTGTCTCTAATCGTCTTCGCTTTAATGACAGCGACTGAACTGCTTTTACATTTTAGCAGTCAAGCTGTGGAGTATTTTAAAATACTCAGATAAAGAGTCCTTGGCTGGCCTCAAATTTAAAAGTAAATGTCTCAAAAAAATTTAAAATTAATAAAAGACAAACCGAGAAACAAGCACAAATTGTTGATGCTTTGAAACTATTTTTTTTAATCCACGTAAATAAGCAAAACCTATATTTTAGTGCAAAGCCTCTATTGTAATTTTAAATATAATTTTTAAAGAAAAAAATACATAAAATAATTAAAATAAAACTGCAATGAAAGAATAAATCACTCTGTAGCTTTCTATGTTAACTTACTCCTTTACTCTTAAATCAGATTAAGCTCTAATGCAATAAATGCTTTCTGTGACATGTGACTTTTTAAAAAAAATTTAATTCGCCTTCATGTGCATATTTTGTCTGTTAGCCAACAGCAGGGCCACTGTAGTTCAGGCCTACATGTTCTCCTTCCTTGTATGAATGTTGTGAGCGCAGGATCCAGCGGTCAGAATAAGCATGTTGAATTAACACATTGTTGTTGCGGATTACTAAAGGGAAAGAAATGCAGATTAGATCGCAGTTAACCTCAGGAACAACAACGTTTGAGCTTTCGACCTTAAATAAATGATTAACCACTTGGACCTTACAGGGCTATAAGCTACTGGCAGCAGTGTATTTGCAGGCTGAAGCCGGTCTCTTATTATTTTTATTTTTATTATTATTATTTCACGCACACATACAGAGATATTCACACCTGCTAAAACCGCCGTGACATTAAGTCGCGGCTAATAAAAAGATGTAGTATTATTTACAAGTTTCCTGTGTCTTTAAGATCAGTGGGTAACTCGGCCTATGCGGGCCAGTGTGAAGGAATCTGAATTTGATTAATGACCGAGCAGGCTATTTGTTACAACATGAAAGAAAGCTACACAATCTGAACGTAACGGCGTCCCTACGTGCATCTCACCGACTAGCCCGAGACTAAACACAATCTGTTAGACGTCGACATTACAGGCCATTTTACTCTGCACACAACACAACTTTGCACGGAGAGAGAAAATGAAAACTTCAGACTTCTCCCTCCGTGGCCCCCTTTTTATCTGTTCCCCCATTCAGAAGCTTCTTTAATGCATTTGTCTTTTCCAATTGAGCGCCCTACTGCGCTGTTGTGTCTTTAAAACCGCTTTACAACCCGCACCAGCAGCACAAAATAACCACCAAATATTTATAACAAGAAATTACTTTTCCAAAAAAAAAAAAAAAAATCTTGTTCTATAAAGCAGGGCAAACAAAACCCCACATTCACGCACTAGCGGCGCAGGGGTCACGGTCGTGTGTGTGTGTGCCTGCGTGTGTGAAAAAGAGAGAGTGCATGTGTTTGTGTGTATGTGTGAATGGTCCCGGAGGGGGTGGATGCATGCCTCCGGCTCTTTGTATTAATCTGAACTTGTTGGTGTGTTTAGAGGGGAAGCTGCGTGTTTCTAGTCGTGGAGGCCGAGTTTTCGCCCCGGGTTTGAGGTATACGGAGGCAGAAAAGGGGGTGCATTGTTGGGAGTCCAGCAGGCTTTGTACACCAGCTTTGTACCCCCTCCTGGTGTGGACTTTTGCGGATCAGTGAGGCGAGGTAGACAGCGTGTGTCACTGTACAGTTTCCACGACAGACTCCGCAAGAGGAAGGCTATCAAGTTTTAAAAACTACACTAAAGCCTCTTGCTGGGACGATGAGGAGCTGATTTCTTTATAAGGACTAACAAGAAAAAAAAAAAAAGGGGGGGGGGGGACCCACACCAGGACTATTCTTTTAAAGAGACAATGCTGTAAAGGAGTTACAGGCCCAATATCACATCACGGCTAGGCTGTTAGCTGAGATTTATTGTGACAGGTGCTTTCGGAAACAGGCCTAACAGACACGTGAAAATAACGAAGATGAATGTTGTCCCGCGTCGATTTTAATTGATTTGTTTGCCACCAAAATTTAGGTTATCTGTAAAAGTAGGGCAAAAAAATAAATAAATCTGAAAATTCAGTAAGTACATCAGTGTAGCTGTGGCTGTGCTAATGTGTTGTTTTGCTTTGTCCTATAGGGAGACATTAAGTAGTGAAAACGGCAGATGATTGACTAAATTGTTATAGCGTGGACAGTCAACTCTGTTTCCAGGCAAGTTTAATTAAAATACATACATACACTCAGGATGTTTTTATTTAAAAAACAAAACAAAATCATAATTATGGATCAGTAAATGTTTAAGAACCAGATCCGCAATTAAAAAAAAATAAAATTTAAATCGGACGACATGAGAAACTTTTTTTTGTTGTTCAAAGAAATGTTGCAAATTATTTGACACCTTAAAACAATAATAATAATAGTAAAACAGATCTGTACACCAGTTTTCTGATTTGCTGCTAACCACTTTTGTTATTTCCTTGTGACGCTTAGAATACCACAACCAAGCCACGTGGGAGTCTGGCGTAGCTTCAATGATGCAGAACAGTAAGTTGTTTTCTATATATTTTATTTTGAAACTTTTGATTACAGCCGCAATGTGGTTGCATGGAAGCAACACCCACTGACATTTTTCTATTTATAATTTTATCTTTTATATTTATTTATTGCACTGCTTGTTAACATACATTTCAGAAACACTATTTTTTTAATTTGATTTTTTTAAAGAGGGCAGATGCATGTGCAGTCATACATTTTCAGGATTTTTTAAGAGCAGGGATGATAATATTTTTAAGTTATTTGATGGCGCTTTCATTGCTGTTAATTTATTATTATCTCCCTCCCAAATGATAGGTAGGCAAGTTATTATTGAACAAGTTAATCACACGTCGTCCTTCCTTCTCCAGGGAGAGAGAGAGAGAGAGAGAGAGAGAGAGAGAAGGGGGGATTAGAGGGGGGTGCTGGGTTGAGAGGGAGATTTTTGTTTCTGCTTGAGTTGGTATTAAATAATTGCACAGCCGTCTGCATTAGCGTTAGAGCTGGCTGCCAGGCTGCATACAAGATTAGCTGCGTAGAGAAGAGCCCTGCATGAAACATGAGGGAATAGCAATAATGTCTTATGTAGATTAGTCCATATTCTTCACGGACAGACAGCATGAACTAGAAAGAAAATGCTCATATTATAACCGCAGGCCTCACTGTTAGGTGCAGGCTGAACTCAGAGAGGAAGATAAATATTAACAACCATATTGTCGTGGGTGCCAATCAAAAAAAACCCCAACCCAAAACATGGTAGATGAAGTTGCTTATAGGCCTCATGTGTTTAAAGTGGCCTCTTGCAGATGAATGATTTGTCTTGTTCCTGGTGTGTGTTGAAACCAAAAAGGATAAACATGAAACATTTTCTCTCTTGCTGCTGGACAAGAGGTGTATGACATCTGTGATGAAGGTGTGTGGAATAATTTTATTATATTATTCTCCATATACCTTGATGACGTGTCTGTGCTGTAACCTGTGCGCATTAGTCCGAGTATGTTTGAATCCAATGTTGGACCACGTGAGAGGTGGACTGTTTTATGTGTAGAGAGCTGTGATTCATAAGAAAGCGCTGCGGGAAAAAAAACCCCCCAAAAACACGAGTGGCTTACTTTTGTTTTTCTCCTAGTAGATTTTTTTTCCTTACGTTAAATGGCACAGCAATGTGATTTCTTTCTTTTAATCTTATCAGTTGTCAGTTATAGAGATGACAGAGCCTTAACAAACCTGTGTACAATACCCACTGGATTGATGTTAATAGGATGCTCCCCTGGCTTGGCGTGTGATGTCTGGTGCGAATTGCCGAGGAGATATCATTGGGCCCGGCCCTTTGGGTTGTCTAAAGGTCGCGACGGCCTCGCTGGCTTTTGTGCTAATAACTCCTGGGTGTATATAGTGGGGAGCGTCCAAATTGACACCATATGTTTTCCTATTAGTCGACTTGCAATAGAATACAAGGCGCATAATCAGCGCCAGCGGGCGAGATCGACTCCGGGCACTTGAGGGAATTGTGCCATGATTAAGACTTAACCTTAGGAGAGTTTGATTTTTATGTGATGTCGTTATCTGACGGGTTTTATCGATCCGGAGGATTTATATGATGGTTATAAACCAGAGGTGACGGAGCAACCCTGGAGAACCCGCAGAGCAAGGCTGCTTAATGTGGGTAGGCCAATTTCAGCGTAAGAAGTCTATTAATTCCACTTAATCCTGGAATTACCAAAGAGCAGGAGGGGATGATAATGGATTTACTATCAATCAGATCCACGCAGGAAGATTATAACACATAGCGGCCAAAAGGGATATGTTGCTCAGTTAAACAGGTTTATTCTCACTCAAGTAGCTATAAACAGGCCCGATCCCCCTATTTTTAATTTTCTTTCTTTCTTTTGTGTCATCTATATAAAATAAAGTCCGCATTTAAAGCCAACTCCTATGGCACATTTCAGCACGAAGACGCCAACCGATTCCACACAACAGGACTGCGGTGGCTGTGAGCATTTGTTGTCAAATACAAACAAGGGGGGGAAAAACTGCATGTCACTTTTAATATGTTAAGAATCGAGGCGCGCCCTCGTTTGTGTGACCGCGCGTAGCCCCTGGCCACCTTAAAAACGAAGTCTCCCTCGGAGGGTAAACGAGTAGCGTCCAATTTTGTCTGAGTGATATCCAAATGCAGACAGAAAGGGTCGTTTTATCATGCTACTATTTGTCGTGACGATGCGATTTTCAAAAGCAGAGCGGTGTCATAAAGTGACATGCCTGCCACAAGTGCTCCAACTGATCTTTTCAATTAGCCTCCCATGCATGATCCGAGGCGACTTCCGCCTATTTCCAGAAATTAAGCTCAAACTTGACGTGCAGCTAGCTTTATTTTAAAGACAAATGTCAGGCAGGCTCATCATATTTTCCCCCTCTTCTATATTTGGAGCTTATTTATTGCTAAGGAGCCTCTGCTCCCGGAGTCAATGTACCGGGCGGCAGCGCAGGGGAAGGGAGCGGAGAAACAGAGAGCAGCTCAGGCACTCCGGGGAGTCAGCTCTCCCTTTTGGCTTCAGGTTTGCGGGCTTTTTCTGCGCTTTAGAGCGATTCCATACAATAATTTAAGGATAATTTCTAAATATCACTAATTTTTTTAGACAATAAGCAAAAATAAAACCTCATATTTTAAAGCTAAAATCTTATTGTTTCCTTGTCTTTTTGATGCGTAATTATGGCATGTTTTTTATAAAGGATTGTCATGGGAAGGATTTTAGCGATTTAATATCGTTTTTCCTACAAGATGCTTTTGAATTGATGCTAATTTAACACATTATTGTAGTGGAGTGTTTATGGGATCGTCGGTGTGGCTGGTTATTGTTTTAAAGCACTGTTTGTGAGAGAGGTGCAGTCTTGGTGATGGGAGTGGATAACGGTGCGGGTGTTTTAAAGCCCAAGTTTGCCGGTTTGCTACAGGAGTTTTTTCTGACCAGATCATCGACTGAGCTGTAAAATTACTATGAGGAAAAAATTCTATATTTTTTTATTCGGTGTATGTCGTGCTGCTGTGGTTTGATCAATGTTTTTGCATGTGTTACTAAATAGCTGATGATGCGCCGAACCTCACAACAGCTTAAAAAAAAGATTTCTGGAGTGCACTCCGGTTTAAGATATTTTTATAAAATCGTGTGAGAGTTTATTGTGAAACTTCTCTATTGCTGTGTGCTCTGCATCATATCACATTGCATCTATAACCCGATTATTCTGAACGCTTAAATCATTCTGCTCACCATTACTTGGAAGCCGTTAGCTTTATCATATATTTCAAGAGGAGCTGCGACATGATTTGATGACTCCGGTGCTTTTGTCTCCATGTAGGTCACAGTGGCGTAAACCAGCTTGGTGGTGTGTTTGTTAATGGCAGACCGCTGCCGGATTCCACCAGGCAGAAAATAGTTGAACTTGCTCACAGTGGTGCTCGACCTTGCGACATCTCCAGGATACTCCAGGTGACAATCCCACTCCTTTTTATGAACAGAAAACGCCTTCATAGAGACGTTGGTCTCAGTGAATACAAGGAAATTAATAATAATATCCAAAAGCAAAAATATTGAAAACAAACCGATTTGAATTTTCAATTAAAGCCAGGTTTCCAGTAGCAGTTCACGACCGCTTTAAGCCAGTAAAACCACTTATTACTTTGCAATTAAAGGAATGTTTTAAGGACAACAAACGGAAAAGTAATCTGCCTGCTGTTGTAAAGAATAAATGCCTAATATATCATTCAAGGCATATTTTCTGTATTTATAGACCCATGATGAAGTCCAAGTGCTGGACAGTGAAAAGGTGATAATTATTTGAGCCATCTTAGCATTTCCGTTCATAGTCGTAAATAATGTATGTGAATTGTGTCTTTTGTTTCCCGTCCAGGTATCCAACGGCTGTGTGAGCAAGATCCTTGGTAGATATTATGAAACAGGCTCCATAAGACCGAGAGCAATTGGCGGCAGCAAGCCCAGGGTCGCCACTCCAGAGGTGGTCGCGAAAATCGCGCAGTACAAGCGGGAGTGTCCGTCTATCTTTGCGTGGGAGATCCGTGACAGACTTCTGTCGGAGGGGATCTGCACCAACGACAATATACCCAGTGTAAGTGTATTGACTGTAAGTTGTGTGCATGATTTAATTTGCCACATGAAATGACTTTTTTCTCATGCACTGGAGGAAAAGGAGAAGGGCATCCAACCATTCAGTCTTATTAAGTGCACTGCGATTCAAAGCGTGGGGCACACATTACTGCGTATGTGATCAGCCAAACATACGCTCGGTTTTGATGGGGCTCGTTGTTCATTTGTGCGCTTTGCCAGAAACATCTTCCTGTACATATTTATTATGATTATAATGCTCGCGTTATGCGTGTAAGAACACGTGTTTTGCCCGCACGAGCAGAGACGTGCCGATGCTGCGCTCCATCCAATCCGAATCCAGACTTTTATCATATGTAATTTGTCATTCAGGTGTCATCAATAAACAGAGTCCTCCGCAACCTGGCTAGTGAAAAGCAACAGATGGGCGCAGATGGCATGTATGACAAGCTGAGAATGCTCAACGGTCAAACAGGAACTTGGGGGACCCGGCCCGGCTGGTACCCCGGAACATCAGTGCCAGGGCAGCCCAACCAAGGTGAGCCTCATTGTCATGCAGTAGCAATAAAGACACCTTGACGCACGCACAGTTGTGAGGTTCTCTACCAAAAAAGAAGTATACATCCGGGTGGTGTGCTGACACGCACTAACATTTATGGTCACCCACAAAAGCATCTGATTTGAATTCAATGCATTAGGTTTAAAGTGAACTTAGTGAGGTCACCACAAGTTGCCATGTATGAATAGGTTTACGGCCTACTCTTCCGGTGATTCCGACCCGTAGCTGTTTGCAGGAAGGTATTGTATGGTCATGCTTTTGATGCTCTGAACAAGACTGAAAATGTAAAACTAGTCGATCAGAGGAAGCCATAGGCCATGCATGCATTCTGAATGTCTCCACTGTCCCAGACATGGATGTGCGTGACAGAAGCTTGTCCTTTCAGCAGAGGTGTCCATCCAACAGCCTGCATTTTCCTCCCCGATGGGGAGGCAGGGAGCCGGGGGAGAGCTGTGTGCGGCGATGTTAGCACAAAGGAATGCTTTTCCTTCACACGCAATGATTAGTTATGGGAACAGTCCTCACTACGTGTAATTGCTCATTAGAGAGGGCTTTGTCTCTCATTATGGCAACATGCAGGAGTGTGGAGATGGTGAGGCTGCTGTGGAAATGTTCCACTTCAGAGGGTTTCCTGACGGCCCACTGCAGGCCAAATACCGAGCAGCTTTTCTTATAAGAAACTACAACTTTGCAGGCAGGAGTTTGCGATCACGGTTTATTTGCACATGTAAAGCGGAAATGCAAGGGTTGGAATTAAGTCCGACAAGATTTAATAAATTAACTAAAAAAACAAAAACAAATTAGCATTTGTGTGACGGCAACTGGTCACGTGGGGCTGTCCACGAGCAGTAAAGCGGGAAAGATCATATTCATGGCTAAAATAATTCATTTAATGATGAAGCTATAACGGCTAATTTAAATAATAATAATAATAATAATAATAATAATAATAATAATAATAATAATAATAATTATTATTATTATTATTATTAATAGATGTAACTATTTAATGTTAGGTATTTAATTATAATAATGATCATCATTTTCATCTGTTGTATATATTGTTTTTCAACCTAGATTAAAAAAAATCTCCAGAAATAAAACATATAATAATAATAACAATGATATAAAAATCTAAAAATAACAAAGTTGTGTTTGATTAAGTATTTGGGTAAAACAGTTGTTTCAAGGGAACGAAAATATGTTTTCAATCAGACAGCCGAATAAGCACATATAATGGCTACATGGAGAGTGACAGGGCCCCAAAAGAAGACAACTCTATCCAAAGAGAAACGAATAAAACTCCACACCGATGCTGTCTTTCATCTCTTTCTCATGCTCAGTCGCTGGCTATATGGCTCTAAATCCCGTCTATAGGATTTAGTCTCTCACTTTCTCTTTCAGTTTTAAGCGGTTTCTCAAGAGTGTTTTGATCCAGTCTCAGCAGCTGAAAGGTGCCGCAATTGGTTCGGTATCTCTTTTTTTTTTGCTGCTTTTCCGCCTCACTGGCTGAGACATCGTGATACTAAAGAATGAGTTTATTTCCCAGCGCTTTTATAAAGAAAACAAATCCCATCCTAGCGTCAGTGGGTCTGGCGCACGGATAATAGCTGCACATTCACTCCTTTTTATAGATTATCCGGAGTGAAGAAACAAATAGCGTGGATACAAACTATTGGCCTATAGAAGAATACTTTGGCTATTATGCAGCAATGGAAATTGTCAAGAAATGTGTCCCATCAGGTTTCCTTCACTGAACAAAAACGGACACATATAGACACACTAAATGTGTTTGGAGGCCTGCGTGATGCAGGGAGAATTTGCACGCAGCGGAACTATGAGGAAATGTGTAATTTGGTTTATTTTTCTATGAGGCAAACACGTGTTTTATTTTGTGCTATCGCTCTATAGTTCATAGAAACACATTAAGTAATTGGCTGATCTTATAATCCACGTAGGTGAACAGTTACTCGGCCTTTTTTGCACCTTTTCCCCAGTTTTGCAACAACCTGGAGTAGAGGACTCCAGCTGCTCGGCTCTGGGGTTTTTTAGAACACAAATAAAATTTGCTCTGAAAAAGAAAATGCTGAAATGCCACTTCGTAGCCCCAGAGCGCCATCGTTGAGATATTACATAAACCTCTATCAACGCACCCGCTGCTTAATTTCGCATTAACTTCTTGGTGTGATAATGATGTCCAACAACAAGACAGACATTAGTCGATAAGCCTCGCCCTGCGAGTGAAGGGGCCTTCAGGCCCACCGCGGACAAACAGCAGCAGTGAATAGATTGGCCTTATTTTGGTTGTTCAGGGGGTTGCATGCTCTCTCCTCACTCATTTGTTTCCAATTGAAGACAGAAATCCTGACTGGCGTGTAGCTGGCCGGGGGACGTGATTAATGATGGTAGTGGATAAGGGTTAACACACTGGACTCAAAGCTCTGTTGACTGGGATCCTCGTGCGCACAATGCCAAAGTACTATAGCCTGTGTGCCTCCAGAGAGAGGGGATCCTTTTGTCATCTCCTCCAAAAGCTCCCCTCCACACACACACACACACACCCACCCCCATCCCATCCCATCCCATCCCATATATTACACCCACCGAGGGCTCACTGCTCGTCCCTGGCTGTGTCCATAGTTTAATGGTTTCCCTTACTCCTGAAGGCATTGTATCATTCTGAAAAGCGTCTTCTTCTATTCAAAAGTTGGTGGTCACCTCAATGGCCATACCAACGCCCATATGGGAACGGCCATTGAGGCACTGCTCTGTCCAGGAGGAAAAAGGGAGGGGGTTTTGGAGCTGTGTAGAGAGTTTGGGTTTTAAATACATTTCATAGGCTCTGAAAAGAGGCTCAGCACATCTTGTCACATTTCTCTTAACCTTTTGAGAACACACGCCATTGTTGGGACACGATAAGTACGCGGAGCTTTCCCCTTAGCCAGCCTGTTTTTCCCACAATATTTTATCAACAGTTTAACCACGAAGCCGGTTTGATGTTGTTCCTTTTTCACGCAGCCAGTCGTCTGTAAAGTGGCAAACATTAGGAAGAAATTGCAATAATTCCTCCAATTTTGAAACAAATTAACCATGATGGGTGCTTTAATTAATGATGTACCACCGAGGTCTGTACAATTAGCGCTAGGCTGATACAACACGAGCCCCGATAATTAATTATTCAATTAAGCTTAAGTGAATGTATATTTCCATTAATTTCTCTCTCCTTTTTTTAGATGGCTGCCAACAACAGGACGGTGCAGGAGAAAACACAAACTCCATCAGCTCGAACGGGGAGGATTCAGAGGAGACACAGATGCGTCTGCAGCTCAAGAGGAAACTACAGAGAAATCGCACATCCTTCACACAGGAGCAAATCGAAGCACTGGAAAAAGGTCAAATATGCAGTGGATAATTTGTATAATTCGTTTTAAACATCCAGACTAATGTTTCATCGATAACACAATACAAACATTTTGGTTATTGTAAGCAAATTCAAAGAAAACGCAAACTGCGTGAGGGACTACATTTCTTCATTACACTGCGTTAAATAAGAAGCCTAATTAAAAACCTAATGTTTTGGATCCAGGGCGAACGACACGCAATTGTTTCACTAATAGCTCTGAATAAAATTAACTGCCCTTGACCTAATCTTATATTTACTAACACCTATACCTGTGTGATTAATCCCACTGCAGAATTTGAAAGAACTCATTATCCAGATGTTTTCGCGCGAGAAAGACTAGCAGCGAAAATCGACCTGCCCGAGGCAAGAATACAAGTGAGTGATCGCAACTTTTATGAGCACGTTTAAAAGAGGTTTTAAACTTGAAGCTAAAATTATGCTTTTCCCATCCTTCATCTGCAGGTATGGTTCTCAAATAGGAGAGCAAAGTGGAGGCGAGAGGAGAAGCTGCGGAATCAGCGCCGGCAGGCCAATAACTCCTCAAGTCACATTCCCATCAGCAGCAGTTTCGGCACCAGCGTCTACCAGGCCATTCCACAGCCCACCACACCGGGTAGGTCAACCTAATCAGAGATATTACTTTGACCATATGCCCAGTAAGGTAAAATAATACTTAAATTTAATTTTTCAACTGAAATTATTAAAAGTGCAGTCCTACTTCACACACGCTGCACAAGCACACACTACTTTGTTAAAAAAAATTTAATGCATTAATACTGTGATGGGTTCCATAGGCTCAGTGGGTTAAATATTTACTAAACAGTATCATGCCACAACCTGCGGATTCATATAAAAAGGGCAAAGGAGGCCTCGGTGGCTGTGCGCTCTAGTTCGCATGAAGAAGCGCCGTTGCTTCCCTTTGATGGATGATTGAGCAAAACTTCTCAGCTGACTATCTGAGCAATTACCGAATCAGGCACGAGGGTACACCGGCAGAGCTGAAGCTCGTGAAGTCAATCACCTGAGGCTCTCGCTGTAGAGCTATCTGTCCGGGCCCATCAGCCTGTCAAATAAGGCGTCACCTTCCGCACGCACTGCTTAACGCTAATGAGATGACTTCTCTCACCGGAGCTCAGTGTGTGTGAGATTTCTGCGGTTTCAAGCGAGTTTTCATTTTCATCCACAGTGTCTTTCACCTCGGGGTCAATGCTGGGTAGACCTGACACCGCACTCACAAACACCTACAGTGCGCTGCCGCCGATGCCCAGCTTCACCATGGCAAACAATCTACCTATGCAAGTAAGTCAAATACTCTGCATACATTACATACGAGTGCTTAAATAAAATGAATTTAAAGCTGGGTTTTTACAGTGACTGGTGTGACTATAAGAGTGGCAAAAAAAGTACAAAATTACATAGGCCTGCATACTGTAACTAAATGATTCGTGAAATAATTTGATAGTGTTAAAAGCAGACAAACTAGATTACAGACTACTGAGCTGCAAATTCTGGTTGGCTAAGCTAATGTAACATTCTCTCCTCATTTTTAGCCCAGCCAGACCTCCTCTTATTCCTGCATGCTGCCTACCAGTCCGCCTGTGAACGGGCGGAGCTACGAAACATACACGCCCCCTCATATGCAGGCACATATGAACAGCCAATCTATGACCACTTCTGGTACCACCTCAACAGGTAGGCAGAAAATTTCACTTTTTTAATTGTTTATTTTTAAAGCAGCCTGCTTGGGAGTTAAAAAAGCAAACACTGCACTCTTTGAAATATCTGCCACCTTTCCAGTAATCAGGGGATACTACAGAGTCATGTCTGATTCATGATCTGTCATCCCAAGTTTCCTTTTCCTTTGGTTTAAATGTCTGAGGATCTATATCTCTACATCGCACATCATTTTTCTCTCCGCAGTTGCATGAACGAGGCTCATTTCTTTGCCACTCTGGGCCATCATGTCAACCCCACTACTCCAGCCCATAGTTTAGTTCCACCCCATTAGGATGTTACTGAGAGCCATATATACCGGTTATAGTCATGAAGAGTTAATCATGCATAACCACATTTCCTCTGTGCTAAATTGCTAATTAATTTGATTCATTTGCTGTTGTATTCTCTCTGTTTAAATGCCATTGCCAAAGCCTCAATTTATCGAGCTTGCAAGCATTTTACCGAGCCACCACGTGCAGAGCTTTGTGACTCATTGCAGGCCCATGCTCATCTACCTATTTGCAAGCATTTAAAGCACAATGCTCTGTTAGTTAACTGTCGTACTAACCGTGCATGGTAAACCTGCTCATCTAATTTTAGCATTTAGACAGCTTTTTTTTTTTTTT